AACACATCTATATAATATGTTTGTGTGTATTATAATATTGTCAACACATCTATATAATATGTCTGTGTGTATTATAATATTATCAACACATCTATATAATATGTCTGTGTGTATTATAATATTATCAACACATCTATATAACATGCCTGTGTGTGTATTATAATATTATCAACACATCTATATAACATGCCTGTGTGTGTATTATAATATTATCAACACATCTATATAACATGCCTGTGTGTATTATAATATTATCAACACATCTATATAATATGTCTGTGTGTATTATAATATTGTACGTAGAACAAATTGTATCCATGTATTTAAAACATTAATAGCATGAATACTGCATATATTTAAGCCAAAGAAGGCGATTAACACTTTACCGAAATACCATATAGTGACGAGCCCCAATCAATAAATAAACCAAAGAAATTCTTTATATGATACCAGTTTTTGTTATTTAATCACGTCGGACTGCATAGAGAAAGGGTGTCGTTGTTTTATAATAGGGACAAGCAACAGTCACAAGAAATATTCACGATGAAACTCCTTCTAAAACATTGTTTTCGTGTATAATTCTATATTGGAAGTGCTAATTGGGTTAAAAAGTTAGATTTGTTCTTAAATGTAATATACTTTCCAATTTCACCAGCACTGTTAGTAATTTCATCTCGAGCAAAACGGTTAATTAAGATTTCCCCCTCATAGCTTATTTTAATGTAGATACAGCAGATGTTCTTCCCATTGTTAATTAATGTGTAATTATAAATATTTTCATACAACTGCCGACAAGTGTCCAGTCACACTACATCATATACAAACGACATTAGTATTCATACAACTGCTAACAAGTGTCCAGTCACATTACATCATATACAAACGACATTAGTATTCATACAACTGCTAACAAGTGTCCAGTCACATTACATCATGTAAAAACGACATTAGTATTCATACAACTGCTAACAAGTGTCCAGTCACATAACATCATATACAAACGACATTAGTATTCATACAACTGCTAACAAGTGTCCAGTCACATTACATCATATAAAAACGACATTAGTATTCATACAACTGCTGACAAGTGTCCAGTCACATCATATAAAAACGATTCAGTCACATTATATCATATAAAAACGATATTAGTATTCATACAACTTCTTACAAGTGTCCAGTCACATTACATCATATAAAAACGATATTAGTATTCATACAACTGCTGACAAGTGTCTAGTCACATCATATAAAAACGACATTAGTATTCATACAACTGCTGATAAGTGTCCAGTCACATCATATAAAAACGACATTAGTATTCATACAACTGCTGATAAGTGTCCAGTCACATCATATAAAAAACGTTCCAGTCACATTACTTCATATAAAAACGACATTAGTATTCCTTCATTGAAAAGTCTTTCGTTATCAAAATTTGTTTTCATTCAAATTAAAACTTATTTACTTTTAAATCCTCTTTTGATGAACTTACAATAACGATACCTTTCAAATCATACCATTGAAACATCATGTCTCACATACTTGCTTATCACACAGTTCCTTTAGCTTCTTTGCTCAGTTTTCGGTACATGTAATTTGTGCTTACCGTTCTGCTAGGTGCCCGAATTTTCCTAGTTTTGTTATCTTTAATTATATACTTTCTGCACTCTTCCTCTTCCCTGAGAATTTTCGATTAATCACAATTTAAACGACTTGATGTATTGTAATTTTTTCAAAATTAAATTCAAGATAACCAATTGTTTTCCCAACCTCTGTTTCTGTTTCCCGACTTCGATTGATTTCCATTCCTCTTTTGTCTACACGCTCGCTAATCAGTTTTACTGAAAGTTATAATGAAAGGGTAACTTCAAGACTTGTCTCATTTATTAAAAAAAAAGCGATGTTCATGATAATTTTAAATTGTTCGAATAAGAGTAAACTCAGTGAGTTAGAAGTATATTCCTCGTAGAACTAACTATATGTGTCATACGGTTTACGCACAGGTCTCCCGGGCTGTTGGATTTATATCCGAAGTAATAATTGGTGCATACAGTAACTATGGTATCCGTTTATGAACGCATCTTAGGCTTAAGGTTTAATGATTAGAAAATAATATATACTTGAAGTATCATTTTTTTTTCATATAGACCAGCTTACTATGTTGTTTTCTGAAACTCGTTGCCAGCCCAACAAAGTCGATAATAAGGTACTTTTTGTAAAGTATAGCTGATGTACTTTTTGTTCAAATATCCACCTTTATCATTTTTTAGCATTTTTCAATTTGCGAGTATTGAAGGTTTAAGATTTTAGGTGTTTACTGTACTGAAGTTGTAAAAATGCAGGTGTCCTCTGTGTACTATACTGAAGTTTACTGTACTGTCCTCTGTGTACTGTACTGAAGTTGTAAGAACGCAGGTGTCCTCTGTGTGCTGTACTGAAGTTCTAAGAATGCAGGTATCCTCTGTGTACTATACTGAAATTGTAAGAACGCAGGTGTCCTCTGTGTACTATACTGGAGTTGTAAGAACGCAGGTGTCCTGTAAATTGTGTATTGAAGTTATAAAACTTAGCTTTTTATATTATACTAGTATTGAAGTTATAAAACTTAGCTTTTTATATTATACTAGTATTGAAGTTATAAGAACTTAGCTTTTTATATTATACTGGTATTGAACTTCTAATAATTTTGTTTTCTCCATTTGCTGTTATTGAAGTAGTAATATAAGACAATATAGAGCACATTGCATTATAATAATCCATAACTAGCTAACGAAAAAACTTCGATAAACTTTTGTGGTTTAAACTCTTAAATCCCTGGA